CCGCATTCTTGCCCATGCTGCCACCTCAGCCTGACATGCCTTTACCTCCATCCACTCACTCTGGCCACAGGACGACCCCCACCTCACCTTCAAGGCCACCTGCAGCTCTTGGCCTTTGGATCATCCATCTGTGTGGTGGGATAATAGGTTTGAAAGGTGAACTCATGCTTTTAATACCACTTCCCACCCTCAAACTAGTTTCTCTTGCCCAACCCTTCCACTCTCTTTGGCAGCTGCTGAACTGGGGGGTATCCACTGCCCCAGGGGAGGATCATTTTCAGCAAAAGACACAGAAAAGCCTTTGGGGCTCCAATGCTTAAGACTTGAGGGGATTGAAGGATTAGAGGAGGAAAAAAGTCCTGATAGAGGAAGCCCTCCACCCCAAGGCTAGAGCAGGTTCCTGGGTTAGTAGGGAAAGAAGTCAGTGGGGCAGAACAGTGTCCCAAAGCCACAGCCTCCACCAGTGTCCCCTGTGGCAAGTCCCATCCTCCACGAGGGCCCAGGGGCCACCCCTGTAGGAGCCATGCTGGTGCCACAAACTGTGCAGCCTCTGGTCAGTGAAGGGCACACCGCTGCAGGGAGGCACTGAGGGGCTACCTGGGCAGGAATGTGGTCCCCCAAGTACCTCTCCTGGAGCAACCCGAGCCACCTTCTGCTGGTCCCACAGGACAACCTTTACTTGGAGCCATCTACCTCACTTGAAGTGTCACTGCCCATGACATCTCTCAGCATCATAGACTCCCTCCCCCTCAGACAAAGGAGTGGTCCTGGGCACCCTGGGAGGGAGGAGGCTTAGAAGAAAAAGCCTGCACATCTCTATTGAGGAAATAGCGAACAGAGCCTGGGCAGGGGGAAACACCCTCCCCCATCTCCCCGACTAGAATGGGGTGGGGGCTATCTCCAACTCATCTCTCTGTGACTCCAGTGCCCTGCCCAGGGCCTGGCAAGCAGCAGGTGCATGATAAATATTTATTGCCCTAAGCAAAGTATGAGGCCACAGAGATGGGGCCCACGCTGTCGGCTGGCTGAGACGATCTTGCTCCATGGTCTCCTCCTCCCTACTCACATCCAGTGACTAGCCAGGGGTGTCCATGTGACTCAGTTTGGCCAACAGGATGAAGCAGAAGTCACAGGGTGAAGCTTCCAATAAAGCTTTTTAAAAAGGAAAAAACTCAGCTGGCCTTGCCTTTGCTCTTTCCCCTTCTTCCTTTCCAGAGATGTCACAGCCATGATAACGTGATAGAATGAGGACAAAGGCCTGCATGCAAAAGGCCTGCATGCAGAGAGGAAGGATGAAAACAGCCTGGGTCCCTGATGGCATAATCGGGCCCCCAGGCCACATTACCCAGTCTCAGCTTCTTATATTAGACCTGTAAATCCCTCTCTGCTTAAGCCACTGCTATGCAGGTGTTCTGTGATTTGCAGCTGAACACACTGGGGGTTACAACATGCTCATCATATACCTTTGGACTGGGACAGATCTGGGTTT